AAAGAGGGCAAGAGTTTGAATGATCCAATCAGATTGGATCAACTGAGGGCACATAATAATAATGTAATGACCCTACCTAACCACCCTTAATTAAACTAGAATAGCACTGACTACATAGCTATTAATAGACATGCTTTATGATGAGTATAGTCAGTTTCAAAATGAACAGACATGTTGATAAAAAAACATTCATTACTATAAATAAGAAATATTATACCTGCAATGCAAAGTGACAGTTAATATACACATATCCATAAATATCCAAATATGAAATGATATCCCTGAAACTGCAATGTAACTGTTAACATTCATAAAATTAATAATATTAAAACTAATATGTACATGACTGTAAAAATACAATATTATATATCCGCCACACACTTCCCCCCCACAAGGAAATGGCGTCCTCGTCATTTGTCTTTACCGGTGATAAGGTCCAAAATAGCATCTGATGCTCTATGCTGTTGGCTGCCAAATACACCCTGGGCTAGTAGTGAGCTTAGATAATTAGCTCGCACAAGCCAATCAGGTTGAGCTATTGCTGAGAGAGCAAATTCTCCTCCTGACATCCACCTTGGCTGTGTCCGAGCTCGGGTAGATCGCCGTGGTAGGGGAGCAGGAGTCTGCATCTGGGGTAGCGGAGCTTGTTCTTCTTCCTCTGTATCTGCAGCAGGCATAGGATGATGATCTTGCCATTGAGTCTGTCCATGGGAATCATGATCAGCAGCAGCAACTTCTTCCTGAGATGAATTCTGTCTATGGGAGTCATGATCAGCGCCATCAATTTCTTCTTGTGTGACAACATTATTGTCCTCTGATTCTATTTCCTGTTCTGTTGCATCTTCAGTTGGCCTATACTGCATTGTCAGCAGACACTGAAGTATCCAAAGGATGTTCATAGATCCTGACCAACTCTTCATCTCCACTTCTATCTTCATCATCATCAGACGCAACTTGGTCGGGCTGAGGTTCAGGTGAAGGTTTGCTCTGTCTCCGTGGCTTTGGAACTGGTTTTGACTTCACTGTTACTATATCCGTTTTAGATTCAGGGGAAGCTTCCCCGCATTTCCTTGGCTTTGGAACTGGTACTTCCTGACGTGGAATAGACCCAACTGGCAACAAGAGATTCCGATGTAGAGTCTTCTTCTTCCCATCCCCATTCTCCTTACCAACAACATACACTGGGATGGAAGGGGTAGGTTGATCCAAAACGACGTAAACATCTTCTTCCCATTTATCCGCCAACTTGTGTCTCCCATTAAAAGCAACAATCCTCCACCAGAACTCGGTCTCCTACCTCTAATGTGGCAGCTCTGGCCCTATGATCATAATAGGTCTTCTGTTTCGACTGGGCTTTCTTCGCCGATGGAAGCTACATCATAACCATGTTTGAGACGTTCTCGTAGGGATCTAGTATAATCTAACCTTGACATTGACTTCGATGGATCGATATCAAGTCCGAAAGCGAGGTCGACTGGCAAGCGAGGATGTCTCCAATTCTTTTTGCTGTCGGGATCCAAGGTACCAAGCATGTTACAGAGAGTGCGGTTAAATCGTTCACACATCCCATTCCCCATAGGATGATAAGGGGTGGTGCGTGACTTGTCAATTTTCAACATTTGGCATAATTCTGACATCAGTTTCCCAAACGAAATTGGCACCTTGGTCTGAGTGAATCCTCTTTGGCAGTCCATAGTGTACTACAAAGTTATTGAAGAAAACTTCAGCTGTGGTCTTTGCTGTCATATTCTTGGTTGGATATGCTTGAGCGTAGCGTGTGAAATGGTCAGTAATTACCAGAACATGTTCTTGTCCACCTTTGGAAGGTTCCAAACTGAGGTAATCCATACACACTAACTCTAGAGGCTGTGAGGTTTGAATGTTTATGAGTGGAGCACGACTTGTAGTAGCTGTCTTACGGCGTAGACACCTTGGACAGTTCTGCAGATGGAGTTCAACGTCCTTCGTCATCCCTGGCAAGTAAAACCTATCCCTCAGGAGAGATATTGTCCTTTCTCTGCCTGGGTGGCCAATGTTGTCATGTAGACTTTGCAGAGCTGCTTGAAGACATCTAGCTGGAAGGACCAATTGCTCCTGGTCAGCTTCATCCACGCAGATAACTCTGTATAACACGCCCCTCTTCAGCCTGAAGTGATGGTAATTCTTAAGCAATGTAGTCATCTCTTTGTCCCCGATGTAGTGAGATCGATCTGGTTTAGTCCGGTTTGTGAGATGTTGAATGATTTCAACTAAGGCAGGGTCCTTGGCTTGCAATCTCCTCCAATCCCTTGCATTCATGTCACACATGTCCTCGGTCACGTCTTCATCTCCAACTATGGAAGCGGAGAGACACAAACTCTCAACAAGGTTGGTTGTGAGAATGGCTCCACAGATGGCACTAACAGAGTCTGTAGGAATGTTCTCCGTTGGTTCTGGTCTGGTCCAATCTGGTAAACGAGACAATGTGTCTGCATCGGTATTGGCTGTTCCTGGTCTATACCTTATGCTGAAGTTGTAACTTGCAAGGGCTGCAAGCCATCGATGTCCTGTGGCATCCAGACGAGCAGTGGTCAAGACATAGGTAAGAGGGTTGTTATCGGTTACAACTTCAAAGTGATGCCCATATAAGTAATCGTGAATTTTTTCAGAGATGGACCATTTGAGACACAGAAATTCCAATTTGTGGGCTGAATAATTCCTTTCAGATGGGCTCAAACTGCGGCTGGCATATGCAATGACATGAAGCTTGTCCTCTTGTTGATACAAAACAGCACCTAAGCCATGGGTTGAAGAATCGGTATGCAATTCAAAAGGTTTTGAATAATCAGCGTACCCAAGTACAGGTGGTGAAGTTAGTCTTGTCTTCAATGTGTGGAAAGCCTCACTTTGAGCTGGACCCCAATTCCAATCAACATTCTTGGCTTGTTTATTTGACTTCTTGGATCCAGTCTTGGGCATAAGCTCTGACAATGGTCGGGCGATCTTTGAGAAGTTCTGGACAAATTTTCTGTAGTATCCAGCAAACCCTAGGAAGCGTCGGACATCCTCTGGCGTTGTTGGTGTTGGCCAGTCTTTAATTTTGTCTACCTTTTCTGGGTCAGCCTCAATTCCCTCTTCTGAGACAATATATCCCACATATCGGACTTTCCTTGCGCTTTGAAGAATTTACACTTCTTAGGTGCAAGCTTTAATCCACATTGCTCAAGTCTCCGGAAAACCAATTCCAATAGTTCAACATGCTCTTCATACGTCTTTGAAAATATGATGAGGTCATCCAAGTAGATCAAACATATCTTGAGATGTAGACCTTTTAGACATTGCTCCATCAATCTTTGATATGTGGCTGGTGCATTAGACAATCCAAAAGGCATCCTGTTGAATTCGAAAACATCCAAGGGGCCAACCGTGAATGCTGTCCTCTGTTTATGTGTCTCCTCTAGTTCAACCTGATGATATCCACTTTTCATATCCAACACTGAGAAATATTTCATTCCGCCCAAACAGTCCAACAGTTCTTCAATGCAGCGGCAGGGCATAAGAATCCTTAATTGTCCGATTATTTAGCTTGCGAAAATCTATACACATCCTCAAACGTCCGTCCTTCCTCCTCCTTGCTAAAACAACGTTAGACACCCAAGGGCTATGTGAAGGCCGGATGACTCCTGATGATAGAAGTTCCTGTAGATGTGTTCGGACTTCATCGTACATGGCTGGAGGGATACGCCTATGTCTTTGCTTGAAACGAATGGAATTCTCAAGGTCTATCCGATGATGAACTAAATCAGAGTGTCCAAGATCTTCAGCATGTTTAGAGAAGATGTCCTTAAACTTCATAATGACATCAAGTCCCTCTGTAATTCATCAGATGTAAGTCCCTCTTTATCTATCTCCACTTGGTCGAGAAGCATTGTAGAGTCTACTGGCAGACCAGGTGGTTGACCTTGAAGCGTGACTGGCTGTATCTCACAAAGTAAAGATCTTGGTGGTACTACAACTGTCCTGGTTGTTATATTAGATACGTGAACCTCTACGGCATCTGGTCTTGATCCATCATAGGATATGAGAGTAGGGGCTATGTCAACATCATCCGGCAAATGTGAGTGTAGAGTTGGCTGTAAAGGGCACAGACGGTTGGTGACCTGAGTCCTCTTGCAATGTACCCTCTAATGATGACATTACTGTTTGCGGGAATGATGACGTTTCTTGTCTCTGCACTCTTAACTAGTCCCAGCTTGCCATCATTCCGTGAAAGATTCTTGTCATGCAAAACTATACTCCAATATGCTAAATACCATGGGGTGTGTAATTCCGCTTTCTGTAAAAACTGTGTCCATTAGACTTCCTACAGTCATCAAGTAAACATCTCTAAAAATGTTGGTTCCAAACAAAGCTGGTACACGAGCATTGTATCTTGTATCCTGTACAATCAGGAATAAGCAGTGTACTTCCTCATTTGTGGCAACTCCTCTACCTTCAGCTGTAACTCCAACTTCTATAAATCCCTGGTACGGCAGAGATTCCCCTCCTGCACATTCAATATCTAAGACATCATCCAGTGGCTGTATGGGAATATGCTGCAAGTGTTGAAGATGGAATGATTCTGAGATTACTGATACTGTGGCTCCTGTGTCCAACAAGGCGCTAACTGGTACACTGTCAATGATAATCTCCACTTCATTGGCCGTCCCTACTAATCTTCCTGGTACCTGCTTATCCTTAGGGCTCCTAAGCACACCTATAGGTGGCCCTTCCCCATAGGCCTGGGAAAGTTTAAAGGGTGCCTGAGATGATCCAGTCTGACTCGACATCCATGCGCAAAATGGCCAAGATATCCACACCTATAACATCGAGGTGGTCCGTGTCCCTGACTTTGTGTGTAACTGTTTGAGTATGAACCAGGTAATGACCCAGGTACATCAGTGACATCTCGTATTGACTGTTGTTGATCCTCTGCAAATGACCTAGGTCCAAACGTAGACTGATGTGGGAAATATTTGTCCCTATGCTGGCAGAGGGCGTCTGGGATAAGCATCTTCCACTTGTGGCTTGGAAACGTTTCCAGGATGTCTGTCGCGCTTATTGTGAGATCTTTGAGTACTGTATGGGCTGTTGTAAATTTGCTGTTGATTAACTTGTGCCTGAACCTGACTCTGTTCCTTCAATTCAGATATCTCCCTCCGGATCTCCTCCATCATAGCTTTGAGATTTGTGACTTCCTCCTTAGTGGAAGCAGCACTAGATGGATTTAAGGTATTGACCATCTTAGCTGAGGCTGACTGCTTCTTCACAGGTGCTGCGGACTTGTCTCTCCTTAAATCAAATTCTATTTCCCTCAAGCAAAGTCGTAGATCATCAAAGTTGGTGATGGCATCAAACTTGTGAGCGGCTACACCCTTCAATCCAGGCTTGAGGCCATCCCACATACGAGTCCTTAGCATCTCATCCTGTTCATCCTCTGGAATAGACCGGTGCTCTGTTATCTGGTATAACATATTCTCAAGCCTACAACCCCACGCAGTGACATCTTCATCCTCCCTTTGTGAACAACTATAGAAATCAGACATGAGAGTAGCTCTCCTCCTTAGGGTTCCAAAGGCACTCTTCATCTTGGTTAGCAGGATTTCAACTGTAGCATTCCGTCCGAGTTTCATGGCTATGAGAGCAGCTTCACCTTTCAAAGATTTCCTAATAGCTTGCAGAATGACATCGTGCGGGTAGGTCTTAGATTGCAGTAGACAATCAGCTTCAAAGCGCCACAAGTCATAGGGAGTGTCTTTACATACTTCTCCACTGAAGAAGGGTATCTTCGGGAAATAGTGAAATGAAGCAGTTGGCGTCTGTTCTTCCTTGGCTGATGCTAATGGAGGAGGTGGCTTGACGTCGGGTCCCTGGAATGAACCTTCTTGCTTGGACATATCACTGAGCCAAGTTTTGAAATCTGACGTGCTATCAATCTTTGGTGCCATTCCCATCTTCTCAAATATGGTAAGTATGTTCTTAAGTTCTTCTTGATTGAGTTCCATGGTTCAAGATAAGAAACGTGGCTGTACTATTTCGGATAAGGCTTTCAGAAAAAGGAAAGAAGAAACTACCCAAAGTAACTCACGGTTACTAAACCAAATGCGAAATGGTAATCCAAATGATACTTAGCGCATTCAGAGGGAGATAAACGAATCTATAGGCATTCGGCAACAGTGGAGATGTATTGCTGTATTACACATATTTCCACACATACATCACTGTCTCTCTAACCTGTACACGTTGGTAATCTATAGGCATCCCTGGCAACAGTGGAGATGTATTGCTGTATTACACATATTTCCACACATACATCACTGTCTCTCTAACCTGTACACGTTGGTAATCTATAGGCATCCCTGGTAGAATAACTACCAACAATGACTGAGAAGGAAGTATATAGACATCTATTTACATATCTACAACATCTGACTACAATTGGTACCAAGAGTAACACCAAAAGTCAAGTGTCAAATACAAGAAGGTGTTATCTTCCAAACATTCACTTAAGACAATAGGCATATTCAAATTGCATACTGAGACGATTTGAAAAGCATACTAGATTCTTTGTAAATTTATTTGACATGTTTGACCTCACAAACATCAGATTGTTCAGCTTATTGAGGCAAAAGATCATCAAAATCAACAATGTCGTATTACAGGTTTCATTTGAAATGTTATCCGCACCTATGAATTGCAGTATATATTATGTTCTGTGTCAAAATGATATAGACATATATTTACATATCTACAACATATGATTATAATTGGTACCAATAGCTGTGGATCACCGATAGGTTAAGTGTCAAATACAAGGCGGTGTTATCTTCCAAACATTCACTTAAGACAATGGGCATATACAAATTGCTTACTGAGACGCTTTGACAAAGCATCCTAGATTCTGACAAAGTTGACCTCACAAACATCAGATTTTTCTGATTATTTACACATAAGATAATCAAAATCAACAATGTCGTATTACAGGCTTCATTTAAAGTGTTATCTACTTGTACAACATTTCTTTGCTGACTTCTTGTTCCTACTCATTATGCATTTTCACAGTGTATCAGTATCAATAAGAATTCAACCTCTTATGTCCAGAATGATCCTTGACATTCTCAAGTTATTAGGGAAGTCCATCTGCTGTCCGACCTTTTTTCAAATCTTCTCATTCCCGAAAATTCCCTGACTATTTCCCTCAGGCATTCCACAATGTCATTGTTTTTGCCTTTCTGAGCCAGAGTAAGGATGCTTTCTCTTGTATCTGAGACCAGAGAGAGATCTGCCTTGTGGTCCACCAGTAGCTGGAGGACATCCTCATGTCCACATGCAGCCGCCATCATCACTGGTGTCCAGTCATACCGTCCACGACAATTGATGTCAAACTGTGGAAGGAGATCTTCTACAATGTCTCTATTTCCACCTCGGCATGCTGCATGAAGTACAGTGTCATTGTTGTCAGCTCTTATTGTGAGATCAGCCCCTTCGACACGAGCAGGTCGAAAACATCCTTCTTCCCAAACATAGCTGCTATCATCACTGGTGTACTACTAGCCACTCCACGGCAATTAATGTCAAACAATTGAAGTAGATCTTTAACAATTGAGAATTTCCTGAGGTTTCTTCTATGAAGGTACAACTCCACCCAGTTTTCATTTAACAAAGATAGATTTTCTAGAATGGAAAATTTCCATCCCCAACAAGCCCAATGGAGTACATTATCATTGTCATTATCGGTAAGATAAATATCAGCCCCTTCAGACCTGAGCAGATTGAAAACGTCATAGTTCCCATGTAAAGCAGCAATCATAACCAGCGTTCTGCCCATAGAATCTCTTGCATTAATGTCAGTGACTGGAAGGAAGAATCGCGAAAGTCTTACAGAGCCTACACTACAGCTGTTCTGCAACATTAAATGAGATGCCCTTTCAAAGTCGAAGTCTCCAGTCTGTTCTTTGATATGTAATCCTTTGGTAATAAATCCAAAAAATCTTTTCCAAGTAGACTGAATCCCTTCGTCCTAGCAATTTGAAAAACATTTTCACCAACATCATTTTTGATTCAAAGACCTCAGCTCCAATTTTAAGCAAGGCTAATGCAACCTCTCTGTAATTGTGTTCTGTGGCAGTCACCAGAGCTTCATTGAGCACACTTTGATGAAGCAGTGACTTATATTTGGAAGATAACAACAACAACACTGCTTCGTTCCCACAGGAAGCACAGGCCTTGAAGGCTTCCATGATCTCTTCATTTGAAAAAACGTATCCAAAATCAAGGATTTTCTCAACCAAGTACAGACTATGTGCATGAACTGCCCAGTACAGTAAGTACTTCTCTTCTTCCTTTGCATGTAACATGGCAAGCCGTTTTGTTTCTTTTGTATTCAGCAACCATTGAAATATATTTGATTTCTTCAGTTTAAGTTTCTGGAACACCTTGTCTACTATTTGTTCGTTTTTCAAAATAGGATGTGTAATAGACATACTGTAGTTGCCTTTGGCAATAGCATCAGCCAGTCTGGAGGCAATTGTGTCATAGTAAGCATCTGAGACGTAGATGATGTGGAGATGATTATCTATTGCAGTGGACTGGACTTGCTGGGCCTGTACACGCTCATAAAGGAATCTGAGACTGCAGTGGTTCAGAACGAAGGATGAATTCCTTTTGAATAGGGCACATGCACAAGCATCATAGATGGTGGGATGTGAAAATCCAAGGATATCTCCATCCGTGAAAAATGTACCCCTGTAACACCTGATGGCTTTGGCAACTGTTGTCCGTGAAGTTACCGGCACCCGCGCTTTTACGGCCTTTAGATTAGCTTCTAAAACATGATTTTCAGATTCCATTTCTACCTGGCTCAAGTTCAGATTATTTTCACACAACAGCATCAGGATGAGCGCAGCGGACTGGTCATTTCCACGTTCCATGATCATGTCAATTTCTCGCCGTAGATAAAATAGGGGTTCTCGAAAAAAACGTGCAGGTTCTTTTTGAAAACTCAGGAATTCACAAAACAGAGTACATATTAAGGGAAAGCCAAACAAAGATTCTCTTGTGTCACAAAGCTCATCAATATCGAGGTCCAGGTCGATGTTATGGTGTTTCAGTTGTTTCTGGAGTATTTTCTTTCTTTCCTTGGGACTGTAATGACATGATTTCATTTTTGTCAAATCGAGAGGCGATGGACCTGAGAAAAATAATATTCTTGGCCTTCCAACTTTGCGACTCCCATTCCAGGTTGTACGATTTAGTGGTGAATATAACACGAATCACTGATTCAGCGCCTGGATGTGTTTCCCGTTGGTCTTCCCTGCTAGATCTTGCATCTTCTAAATAATCTTTAAGATTTTGTAGAATGGACCTAAGATGGGGAACGTCAGTTGATGAGCCGACTGTTCCAAATATATCATCCAGTATCAGACAAACTTTCTTTCCACGCAGGTCACAATTCTTCAGCTCGAATTTATCCACATCATCAACAAACACAAGTTCATACCCCTGGTTCCTGAGATCTGCTCCTATCATCAAGGCAATGGACGTTTTTCCTTCACCAGAAGCACCACTTATTGTTACATGACCATGCTTCTCCAAGCGCTCCTTCACTGTCCTAGTAGTTTTCAGTTTTCACAAAGATATCTTTGACCCGTTTCAGATTCATTTGCAGCATATCTACAAGACAAAAAGGGCATTAAATTCCACGGCATTATTTTTCAATTACACCCTGCTTCATCTGCAGTATCGAATCTACGTCTTCTGGACAAATTACCATGAACGATTTTTTTCTGGCAAGATCTTCTTTTGCCAACAACTCAATCTGTTACATAATAAAATCCGATGCATCTCATGAGAAGCATACACCATGAAGATCCAAGGCATCTATCAATAATGTATGTCTGCCATCTCGTAGCAACAGCCCACCTGCCAACTGATCCAGAAGCCATTTTAATCAAAAGATTCAAACTGACCTTCAACCAAGATGAGAGTTGCATAACCCAGTTATCCTACCACCACACTACAAACTAGTTTACTATACAACATTGTTTTCTGCATAAAGCCTTCCTTGTCATCATCTGCCTAATATTTTTTTTCTGTTTAGGTATATCACCATGTGCTAAGCTGTTGTAAACAAAGTTACATTTGGAGAACAGGTAGGTTTAAATCCTTAAGTCAACCCTTTGAGTCAGACATCGGCTAAATGCATCGATCTGGCTCCATAACAATTCAATGTTTCTCCAATAAGACGCCATTATTACCTGACTTCATTGTTCCATCATTCTGACCTCCAAGAGATACACTGACATCAGAAGAGTCTTGTACTATGATGCCTTTAAAGTCAGACCCTGGAATGAGAGAATAAACAGCAAGTGAGTCACAATGGAGCTTTCTCTAGCTACGTTGTATCCTTATTGAAAGTGTATAACACTTGTAAGATAATTATGTCATTTTGGGAAGGAGACAACAATAAGAGGAACCAACGGTGCCTACTCCCTTTCACGTTTTAAATGATATCATGTGTTTAGAAAACGCAAGCCTTTGATATAGATGTGTATTTAATATGGTGAACAAAACGGAGTATTCTGTTTGTTATAATCATTCCATTTTACCTGCATGATTCTACTTGACACTGCTTGCCTTTCTCGTCTCTCGTAAACAACCATGGCACCATTTCCGGTACTGGCCTGACGCTCGACCACTTCTGATGATGCTATCATGTCCATGGAGAATGTCCCATCACCATGTGTTCCTTTGTGGAACAACATCCACATCATTGCCATTACCAGATTGTGCTACTTCTGATGATGCCAGGTTGTCCATTGTGAGAGTTCCATCACCATCTGTTTCACTTTCCTTGTCAGGACGTTCAGATTCTGTCTCCCTCTGATTCCCCGACATGTCTATGTAAGAAACAGGAACTAAATCCACAAGTGGGACCAAAACTGTTAAAATCGAGTTGTGAAACAGCAGATTTAATTAACTATTATTTACATGTATCGTTACTTCTACTGGTATTGATCAAATGCGCTAATTTCTGAAGATGTTTTTTTCTTGCAACTGTAGAATTAAATGCTTAAGCGTCCCAATCTTGAAAAAAAATGGTGGATCATTGGCAGGTACCAAGCTGGGATGTCAAGTAAGGTTATTGGACCAATTTGCAACGTTAATGCCACTGTAACCAGCAGCTCATTTACAAATACAATAGGACTGAAGGATCTACATAAATCTTGATGCCCAATGACAACCCAGTGCCAGAAGAGACAGTCCATACATAGCCACAACAGAGCGTTCGTAAGCACCATACAGCCGTCGACTCAACGCAATAGGATTAAGGCACAGAATACCAATCAAACGTCCACTCGCAAAACACTGTACGCAGTGTGTGTGTGTAAGGCACAGAGATACCAAGAGAGAGGTGGAAAGTGTAATGATACAAACAAACGTGTCTCCCTGAGAATTTTAGCTGAGTGTCGGACATTAAAGCCCTTGTTGCCAATGTCTTCTTACATTGATATTGACAGTTTGATGTTTCTGAGACACATCTATGTACTTTTATTCAGCTCATCACTGACAGATGCCATACTTACTTGCCTACTTTTCTACTTTGATACAGTATCTGTAGTCATAGGAGAGGAAGGTTAGTTTTTTCTCTGAGAGAATGCACATTCTATTAATTGTTCTTCGAAATAACAGTCCTTTTATGTTAACTTACACGTTTCGTAGCTTCTAGTTTTTTCATTGTCTTTCTCTGACGGACAAATCATATTGGTGTTGCTGTAACTGTATATAAAAACAGACACCGACAAGCAGACTACACATGTATTGCTCATGAAATCGGATATCCTGCAAAATATTCATGTAAGATGACACTAGTAATATGTGATGGATGAAATGTCATCCGTTAGCCCAAGACTACACACACAAGCACGCACACATACACAAACATAAATACACATACACACAAAACACGCCCACACACATAAACACACACGCACACAAATACAGAAACCCACATTTATACGCATACTGGCACACATGCACAAACATAAAACTCACATATACACACACACACACACACACACACACAGATACACAAACATTGAGACACGGCGACTACAAATGCATACATACGCACATGTACATACAAAATACACGCGCACACACAATTATGCGCACATGCACATATACTCACACAAACATGCACACACAAGGCACAGCCATACATATACATATACAACTATAGAGATACACAAACATACAAACGCATACACACAGACAGACGTTTGCACACACACACACCCTTCACACGTACACACATATACTCACACACACATACACACATATTCACGCATACATGCATGCACGCACGCACGCAATGAGACACTCACAGACACACATACATACACACATACAGACAGACAGAAGGACAGGCAGGCAGGCATACACACACGTACTTACGTTCGAGGTTACATACATATATACACACATAAAGACAAACGCTCACAGACAAACGCGTACAGACACACTGGCCATTAAGTTTATGGACATTATGAGCGTACACTAAAACAGGATTCGATGTTAAGGTGCACTTGGTTCTATCTCCACAATCAACAGTAGCACGACTGGCTCACACTTTATACTTCACAAATAATAGCTATCTGGATTGGAGCTTGTTCTGTACCGAGTGCACAACTGACCATCGCATTGCAGGAAGAGTGGGGAAGAATTTCGCAAGAGCAGCTTCCTCAACTTATCCAGTCTGTGCCGAGACGGTGCCAAGCATTAATTGCTGCCAATGGCGGCCATACAAAGTACTGATTTTGACGCCATCTTGTAAACTCAAGTAAACAGAAACACAACATTAAATGCTATATACGAGGATCGTTCTAACAGTAGTCGGCCTAAACCTAGAAAATGATACAAATGCAACTGTTTTTATATTTTAGTTTTCTACATATTATCTGTCAGCCTCAAGCAAATTGATTTTGCTATGTTTCAGCCTCATTTTAGTTTGACTTTTTATTTTAGTACTCCCCAAAACGCAAAATCTGCAATAAATGCATCACAAACTTCAGGGAACAAAATATCCAAGAAACATTTTGTCTTTGAGAACTAGAATCAAACTTAGATATTAAAGTGCATAAAACCAATTTGAATCTACAATCGCTTGTTAAAGCGACTCCCCTTCATGTGTACAGAAAGAGCTTGTTTTGGTGACACTACCAACCCCTCTTTCAGATGACGGAATCATAAGACATAACTTATTCTCATGTTTTCACTTATTCATGCATGATGCCAAGGGTTCAAACTAAATACTGAATTGTCAGTATATTGTAAACAGTGCCAGCTTAAATATCTGGACACAATGTTTTGGAAGATTAAAATGGGGTGTTCTTTAAAAATGCCCCTGTCTAAATATATATCAAGCTATCCAAATCTTTGACTGTTGATTATGACGGAAAGTCATCCAATACTTTACTGAACATATTGTATACGATATAATGTAAGGGCGTACCATTGTTCAAGAGGTACCAAAATGGCAGATCGTTTTCTATGTTCTATGTTATACCCTACCCTTATATTGTGATGACTAATATCTCGTTAACAACATTACCCACATATGTGACATTTTGAATATGGCTTTGAAAATGATTCCTTTAACATAATATAGTTAGACTGACTACATTTTGAACGACCCTTAATCTAACACACTATTCTTTTCTAAAACGGCTTGTGCGTTTCTTATTTTAGTGTATGTATGTGCGCGCGCGACCCTGTCAGGAAATTATATGACAATGAAAGAATTTTGGATGAATTTGAATTTGAAAGTCAACACCTGATGTATCGAGGTCAAAGAATTAAAATCAATGTGTGTGTGTGTGTGTGTGTGTCTCTCTGTATGTGTTTGTCTATGTATCTGATTGTGCGAGGATATTTGTGTGAGTATACATATGTGTGTGTTTATTTATCTGTGTATTTGTGTGTGAAATTTGTGTGTGTATGTCTGTGTGTCTGTCAGTACGTGTGTATTATCTATCTATGTGTGCATGTGTGTTATGTGTTAGGGATTGTGTGATTCGTCATAGAGAGAGACGTGATAGATTTGCAATGAAGTTGTGACCATGAATGAATACATTGAGGGAACGTCAAATACAAAATGGTAATTTGAGCCCTAAACCTGACAGACAAACCAGTAACAGACATACCTGAGGATCTTGTGCCCGACAACTGAAGCTTTATGTTGGAACCACGTGTGCGTCACCCTGAGCGGCCATCTTGTTCAGTAGCTCACACCTGACACGTCCACGTACTGGAACTCATCTGAACTGTTTGGTAGCAGTCTTTGTTGTCTACATCTGGCAGGCCCAGTTCCCTACCTGACAAACCAACCTGTGATTACAGATCAGGTAAATTTTCGTCCAATCGGTATGATCCACCTGTCTTCCTGTTACCACCTGCCATGTATGCCACATTCCAAGTGCAAACCGGGAATTTCAGTACGACAGAAATGTGGGTCCTCACACACCTGTCAGACTCTTAACGATTCCCTTGACAAATTACCTCGATGTGTCTAGACATTAGCTGGATATTGACTAATCTAATCTATACTGTGCACGTTCTGTCAACCGACTGTCAGCCTGACAAGCTGGAGGAGGTTTTCTTGCAAGGGTGAGCTGGTACAACTCTGACTTACTGAATACTCCATACCAACATCACTACGACAATACGAACAAGTTCAGTTCGGTTCAGATCACAGTGATATATCGGGAGAGGGTGACCTCATGGTCATATTGTTTCAACAAACTGTCTATCTCATAACCTGGGAGAGACATTTCTTTCAATGATGATCCGGTACAACCCTTGGCTTGTGGCTTTACTTGGGTATTCTGTAGGCTGATTACGATGTTGACATACTGTGGTTGCCAGGCGACCATCTAACCTTTTCTTGATGCACATGGGTATTTCTATGTAATAATAATAGTAACAACATTAATCATCACGGATCCCCAACACCGCTTACTCATCTCCTTAATATCGATGACATCGAGCTCCTTGCCAAAAGAGATGCCAATCTCCTCCTCCATTCCTTTACTAATGATATTGGCAAAACATTTGGACTCGACAAATGGAATACTCTTAATCGTTTATATATGCCAGTCAATTCTCGAGGTTGGGGTTTGATTAATGTGGAGGCTCTTCATGATAGAATTTTATTGTGTACTTTTGCACATATTTATTTATCGGATGATCCTCTGGTGATGCATGTCAAGACTCATGATGAAAGCAAGGAATTCCACAGCTATTTTAAGCGTGCCAAGGTTGTTGGACAAAATCTGAAATTTGAGGTTGATTTTGTTGATGGCGATGTACTGCTGGACGGTACAGCGATGGGAGTAAACCAGGTGAAGTCCTTCACCAAGTCTGCCCACAGTCGGTCTTTTGTGGAGAAGCTTTCTGAGAAGCCATTGCATCGTGTGTACATGCAGTGTGTTGAACAGAATAGCAATCCCACCGACTCCTTTGCCTGGATGAAGTCGGCTGGTCTTAAATGTGAAACTGAGGGCTTCCTTTTTGCTGCTCAGGACCAGTCACTTCCCACTCGTAATCGCCAAAATGTGATTCTTAAAGAAAATATTAACATGAAATGCCGACTGTGTAATGAATTTACAGAGACTGTCCAACACCTTGTCAGTGGATGCCCTTCCTTGGCACAAACAGCATATCTTAAGAGACATGATGGCATGGCTCGTTACTTTTACTACCGTCTTCGCCATGCCTGTGCTTTGACTCCGAGGTCCATCCATGGTACGACCCTGAACATGTCCAGGGCGTCATGGAAAATGATGCTTTCAAACTTCTGTGGAACAGGCCCATATACAGCCTCAGAAGAATTCCTGCCAACAAACCTGATCTTGTCCTTTTTGATAAAGCCAATGAATTTATTTATATCATTGAATTTTCTGTCCCTTTTGACACCAATGTGATTGACAAGATTCAGGAAAAGCATGATAAGTATGCGGACCTCGCCTTTGAAATGTCTCGCTTGCATCCCAAGTACACTGTCGTCAGGCTCCCCATTGTTCTCGGTGCCCTTGGTTTGGTACCTCCTGATCTCTGCGCAGATCAAGAGAGTGCCCGGGTTCTCCACCGGGAGCACAGCCCTTCTTACACTCTGGGTAATGCAGAAGGCTGCAGTGTTGGGGAGCCTTCATATTCTCCGGAAAGTTCTTGGTGTGTTCGACTAGGCAGTGTTTCCTGGGAGAAGTCCCATTCGCTGTCTGGGCTGCGTGTAGAGGGGGCTAGGGCCCTGAGCTGATGATGAGCCTTACCAGCCTGACTGTGCCAGGATCACCCGAACCCTCTCTGCTGCATTTTCATCTTTAATCTGTATAATAATAATAACAATAATCAGTACAGATCTCCAACACCTCTTATTTATCGCCTCTATTTGGATAACATCGATCTCCTTGCCAAAGAGATGCCAATCTGAAAAACAGGTCCTTCTCGAGTCTTTTTACTTATGATATTGGCAAGACATTTGGACTCGACAAATGTAATACTTTTAATCGTTTATATATGCCAGTCAATTCGGGAGGTCGGATTTTGATTAATGTGTAGGCTCTTCATGATAGAATTTTATTGTGTACTTTTGCCTCATATGTATTTTGTCGGATGATCCAAGCTGCTAAAGACGGTCACCCATCCAACTCCACTCCGCTCCCAACGCTGCTTAATTCAACCTGATTTGGGACCTAAGTTCTATGCACAGGACCGCATACCACAAACCATTCACACTTGAAATAATATAATGTTTTCTTAATTTTAGTTTTCATCGACGCTGTGGAAAAGTTATGCCTGATGAAATGACGAAATATTCTTACCCTTAAAACCCATTAAACCGTGTAGCAAAGTTCTTCTAAGTTCCACATGCTTTTCAGTCTACGCGAGTCCGAGCTCCGTACACTGAATGTTGTACTACAACACACTGTATAAGAGGCGATGCATCGAGTTCAACAAGCACATGTTTTGAAACATGGCTACACAAATACCCCAGTGCTCTTGAGAAACAAAACTATGGTCTCATGGGCTGTCTGTCTGTGTGTGTCGCTGCTCACTGTCGTGGTTTATCTCACGTGTGTTATCAAACGTTAGCGTCTCCAAGAAAGAACTTTCGTGAGTCACGGGAAAGATTAATGTTACATTACCTGCATGGGTACATTATATGAAATATTTTCGTGGCGTCCCACGCAGGGGGATATTGCTTGATTAATGCAACAAGCGGCATAAATCCAACAGTCAACAAAACAATACATTCCTTCTGCATTACACTCATCTCTTCACAGGTCCTCACATGCTGCAACAATATGACCATGCTGTCTCAACGTGGTGAATATAACAGCGTAACATGCACACTCGAAGGACAATAAAGTTGATTGTATTCCTTGACAATTATAATGATGATGTCATGAAACGATTATGATTGTGTCCCTGGTCTATTATAATGACTATATTCCTAAGCAATTATCACAATTGTGTACCTAAGACTACTGTGATTGTGTTCCTAGACAATGTTAATTTTCCCAAGATAAAAATAGTGATTGCGTTCCCCAAACAATTAGAATGATTGTGCTCCCAAGACAATTACAACATTTTTTTCTCGACAATTGATGATTCATTTCTCCGGATGATCACATAACTGACTTGCTTAACAGCCCAGAAGGCACTCGTTTCCAAGAGAAACTTTATTCAAAACCGATAATAACAATAAACTTGTTCAGAACTAAACCAAGGACCATAATCAGTCCATTCAACTGACCAACTCCATGGAAAGTATACAACCTAAGTTGTTTGATAAACTGTAAAGTTACCTTATCCTACTGGGTACCCATTTACTACCGGGTGCGTACTGTGTGGGTTGGGTTAAGATTCAATGCCATAGAATATCAGGTGTGAATATCCTCCAAAATCAAAACCACTGAATATCCAATATCTAAAATATCAACCAACAATACACCCTAACAGTTCTCGGAGGGACTAAGTGTTGGGCTTCGTGCTGCAGTTAAATAGTCATTGAGGTGTAGAAATGCCAAATGGGAGAACTTTCCACTCGTAGTGTATTCCCTGGAAGACGAATCTCTGTAACGTTCGAATGTCTGGGACGCCCGGCGCATGAAGATGCGTGTCTTGGAGATCTAGGTTAAATATTTAGTCTACTGGCTTGATGATCGTACAGATCACTAGAGTTGAGGTGAGAAGATTTTTCGATCGCCAATCTGTAACCCTCCGACAGGGTGATGAAGTAAATGTCACGATATGACAAACAAGGTTCCGATAAGAAGAGCTTGCAGGAAGATGAAGTTTACCCGTGATACAGTCTCGACACAATAAATACCCCCTCCCGATCAGAAAATTGATTTCTTCTCAACTATATGAGCAAGCACCGAATCCACTTTCCGATCACACTTGGATCATGAATATAAGGACACTTACATGACGCTGAACTCCACGCCGTACATGGCACATTAAAGTAAGATCAAGATTGATAAACAGATTTGTCTTTAAGCCAGATTTAAAGGTAAGCAAGGATACAAACACAAACCTACACACAAATACAGAAAGACGCATGCGTGCACACAAATATACACATACCTACATACGCATCCATATACACACGCATAAAACATATGTAGACAAACACACACATACATACACACAATTACACACAACTATGCACACGCAATCAGATACATAGATACACATATACACGCACACACACGTATATATATATATATATATATATATATATATACACACACACACAAGTACGCATACATACGCATACATGCTCACACTTACACACAAATGAGTGAGTTAACGATTTCTCGATACATGAGTAGTCGAGTTTTTCACATCATATTCTTTCATTTGTCATGTAATTTCATGACAGGGTTCCCGCCCATTTTTCTTGGATGTTAGGTAAAGGGGCGAGTTGTAACGAATGGTTCACGTCGTGAGACTAACAGTAGATTACCGAACACTGTCAACAGTAACAGAATCCGTGTCATAAATGTAGAGAGAGTTATCTGGCGACACGACAAATCATCTGACGGGGTTCAGTTCACTGCAAGGTATGCTGCAAGTGCTGCTCACTGTTCTTGTAGATACACCTCTGTTGCCAGGTATGGTACGGGCTGACAGGGTTCAAACCTGTGTCGGGGTTCGTGGTCCGAATCCATCAGTCCTGACGTATCAAGTATCAAAACGGGAATGGCTGATGAGGACAACTATGATGAGTGTGGCCGAAGACAACTGTGATCAACTGCACGCAGGACATGAAAGGGATTATCAATAACAGTGTTTGTGAATGAAATTTTACGTCGCATCGGCAATATTTCAGTCATATAGCGACGAGGCCAAGTGTGCACACATAAGCAAGTCCATTTTATTTGAAGTTTAAATAGGAGTTTCTCTTAAGACACATATGTCTTCATAGAGCATGTATTTACAGTTATTTACAAACACCAAATACATAAACACGCATTTGGTCGTACATATACATTTTACAATTTATGATACAGACCAATA